TTTGCAGCATGTGTTGCTGGCTGTCAACTTAATAGTGGAGCCCTGCAAATTACATGGGGAGATCTCCTCTTCTGGTATGATTTGTAGGTTGCGGTGGTGTGACAAGTGGTACACTTCTGTATACTAGAAAGGCTGGCAAGTGGCCTTCTTTCAGTATCATTTATGTAGGTGAAGACACTTATAGCACAACCACAATTACAGAGACCATGAAGAATTTATTTATTTTTAAAAGGCACAGACTAGCAGGATTGGACAGCATACCGTACAGGTGTGTACATACTGTAGGCTTTTCACCTACATATAGTGAGGGGCTTTGGGGTTTATGGCTGATAAGGAGAAAACAAAAAACAACAACTTTCTTTTCTCAGAATCTTAAAGGCTGAGTTCACCTTTATAAAAGAAAATAATAATTGCATGTTTTCACAGCACTGCAATGTCCCTTGTGCTGATTTATTTTTTTTTTTTTTTTCATTTTTAGCAACACTTAGGCTTTAAGTTAAAGTGGTAAACTAAACAGGTTGCGCTTTACCACAATATGAACCAAATATAATTAGTGACCAAAAATATTATTACCGTATTTTTCGCTCCAGGCAGAAAACAGGAGAGAAAAAAAAATTCTGAACTAATGGACTGCAGACACAGTACAGGAGATGATCACAGATGCGGACATAGTACATGATCACAGACTGAGGACATAGTACAGGAGATGACCAGAGACGCGGACATAGTACAGGAGATGACCAGAGACTGCGGACATAGTACAGGAGATGACCAGAGACTGCGGACATACTACAGGAGATGACCAGAGACTGCGGACATAGTACAGGAGATGACCAGAGACTGCGGACATACTACAGGAGATGACCAGAGACTGCGGACATACTACAGGAGATGACCAGAGACTGCGGACACAGTACAGGAGATGACCAGAGACTGCGGACATACTACAGGAGATGACCAGAGCCTGCATACACAGTACAGGAGATGACCAGAGACTGCGGACATAGTACAGGAGATGACCAGAGACTGCGGACAGCACAGGAGATGACCAGAGCCTGCATACACAGTACAGGAGATGACCAGAGACTGCGGACATAGTACAGGAGATGACCAGAGACTGCGGACATACTACAGGAGATGACCAGAGCCTGCATACACAGTACAGGAGATGACCAGAGACTGCGGACAGCACAGGAGATGACCAGAGACTGCGGACAGCACAGGAGATGACCAGAGACTGCGGACAGCACAGGAGATGACCAGAGACTGCGGACAGCACAGGAGATGACCAGAGACTGCGGACAGCACAGGAGATGACCAGAGACTGCGGACACGGTGCAGGAGATGACCAGAGACTGACTGCGTACACAGCACAGGAGATGACCAGAGACTGCGGACATAGTACAGGGAGATGACCAGAGACTGCGGACATAGTACAGGAGATGACCAGAGACTGCGCACAGTACAGGAGATGACCAGAGACTGCGGACAGTACAGGAGATGACCAGAGACTGCGGACAGCACAGGAGATGACCAGAGACTGCGGACAACACAGGAGATGACCAGAGACTGCGGACATGGTGCAGGAGATAACCAGAGACTGCGTACACAGCACAGATGACCAGAGACTGCGGACAGTACAGGAGATGACCAGAGACTGCGGACATAGTACAGGAGATGACCAGAGACTGCGCACAGTACAGGATATGACCAGAGACTGCGCACAGTACAGGAGATGACTGCTGACCTTGGGGGGGGGGGGGGGGGGGGAGCGGGTACCTGAATTTGACAGGTACCCGCTCTTACTTCTGCGGAGTTGTTCTTTGATCTTACCTGTTCCTCTATCCAGCCGCGCGCTGTCTACCCGGCTTCTGTAGTGTGGGGTTCAGCGGACAGCCGGAATGCCCAGTGCGCATGAGCGAGAAGCGCTGCGCTTTGTGATTGGTCCGGCGGCTTCTGGGATCTGTCATGTGTCCCAGGTACCGCCTTACCATTCACAAAGAGCACCGCTTCTTGCGCATGCGCACTTTGGGACCCAGCTGTCACGCACACTACAGAAGCCGGGAAGACAGCACGCCGCTGGATAGAGGAACAGGCAAGGTCTCACGGCAGAGCTGAGCGGCCGGCCCGGTATTGTGACACAGCGGCGGTGGAAATACCGGACCGGCCGCTCCATATTCGCTCCACAAGACGCACTGACATTTCCCCCCGTTTTTGGGGGGGGGGGAAAAAAAAAGTGCATCTTATGGAGCGAAAAATACGGTAGATATAAAAAATAAAGTCAAAATAACAATAGTGTTGTAATGAAGAAAAACTTGTTCGTGTCCAACAAATTTCACCATGTGCCAATCCACCACCAAATAAATTAAACTCACTAGAGCATTATGCTGATCAAATTATTAAATCAGCACAAGCGCTTTCTGCTCTGGGAGCAATACTCTGCGGAAGGATGCAATAGCACTGAAGGCAGTATCCGTATATTATCCGTACACAGGCAGAGCCTGTGGATGTGACGTCACTACGTTCCCAAGCTGTCAGCGTCTGCGCGTGCGGGACGAGGCTGGGTTTGTTGCATTGATTGATATCACGCTTTGTTTGCTGGTGTCGGCTGGGACACCATTATGTGTAAGTGCAATAAGTTTTAATAAATAAGATTTTAAAGGTACTGCACCATGATTTCTCTGTTCTCTTATATCCAGAACGTTGGTCTAAACATCTGAGGAAGAGGTGTTTATTTAAAGAAGTGGATCTATATTGCCAAGTATTCCCTGCAGAGTATTGCTCCTTGAATATATGGATACTGCCTTCAGGCTATTGCATCCTTCCGCAGAGTATTGCTCTCAGAGCAGAAAGCACTTATGTTGATTTATAATTTGATCAGCATATTGCTCTGGTGAGTTCATTTAATTTATTTGGTGGTGGATTGGCACATGGGGAAATTTGTTGGACACGAACAAGTTTTTCTTCTTTACAACACAATATTGTTATTTGGACTTTATATTTTATATCTAATAATATTTTTGGTCACTAATTATATTTGGTTCACATTGTGGTAAAGCGCAACCTGTTTAGTTTACCATTATATGCACCTGTTTTAAGGTTAAATTTGCAGCTGTGATTTCTTTTATGTTTTTTTTCCACTTTGTTATATATCTTTTCGTGGCGCTATCCAAAAATATTTCCTTTTAAGTTAAAGTGGTAGTAAACTCGCATTTATATTTTTACCTACAGGTAAGCTTATAATAAAGCTTACCTGTAGGCAGGGTGGATAAAAATGATTTTTTTTTAAAAAATCTGATTTTTATTTAAATCAGATTTTTTTTTTATAAATCAGATTTTTTTTTTATAAATCTGATTTTTTTTTTTAATTTAAATCTGATTTTTTTTTATTTAAATCGGATTTTTTTAAATAAAATGCTTTTTGAGGAAAATATATTACCATCCAAAGGTTATTCCATCATGAAATAAAGATTCGTTTTTTAATTATGTAGAATAAGGCTGTATATGTTTAATTTTTTTGGTAAATAAATTCCATGAGTCCATTCACAATGTCATGCTCTTCCAGAGGGTTTTCTGTAAGATTATTGGGCAGTTTCTCTGCCTACAAGATATTATCACAGATGTTGGTTTACTTTTGCAGTTCTCAAAACTGAATTTGACTCAGCGGAGATCACATGCCTCTTCTTCACAGCAAAAATGTTTATAACATGAATAGAGTTAAGAAAAAGACCTTCATCCTAACTTCTACAAACCTATGAATACAGAATCAACCCCTTCAGTGCTAAGTTTCAAGAAGTTCAGTGAATAGAATAGAAACAATATTTTTCTGATTGTTTGGAGTGGAATAGATCTGCACAAGAAGAAAGTGAAACTAAGTGTGAGGAGGAGGAAGGGGCTGACAGTCTAAGTTTCTTAAAATATATATATTCTGTTTAGCCAAATTAGTTAACAAACATGGATGTTTAAGCAAATCACATATGCTGGAATGTTATTGTTTCAGATGAATAAATCTATTTAAATTGTTATTATTAAGGTAATGATTATTTTTCTCCTTCCTAAATACAACAGAAAAGTTGTCCAAATATGAATGATTAACCTATTAAACTGGGGATAAAAAAAACTAATATGAAAAGTTATTCTAAAAATCTTCATCTACTTGTATATTAAAGTTATACCAGCAAGAATTAGTCTTTATGTAGAAAACTAGGATTTACATCAAGCCTTACTGACTAGTGATTTAAATCGTGATTTAAATCAAATCCACCCTGCCTGTAGGTAAAATGAATATCTCCTAAATATTCTACAGAGCTGCAGACGGTGACAGAACCGGCGCACGCGCTCTGAAGGAACGGCATACCCGTGCCGTGGCCAAAACTCCCGCATGCATGCGCGGGAGTGATGTCTTCGGCGGCTCAGCCAGTCAACCAGCTGCAGCCTAGGAACCCGGAAAGAAGAACGGGTGCAGATGGAAGTTCTGTCAGCGGTGACAGTGTGCCGCTGGAGGGCTTCGTCTTAACCTCTTCGCTCCAGCCGCACGCAAATGTGCGGTCTCCCGGGGGGGTCTGGGCCTGCAATTAAGAAAAATATTTGTGCCGAGAGCGCACGCCCAGCGAGCTCCCAGCACACAGGTCCAGGACTCACCTCCTCTTTCAATTGGGACCTTTCCCGATCATGTGACCGCCGTGACAGTTAATCACGGTGGTCACATGACCTTAAAATACCACCCCGTCTTCTGAAACCCTTAAAGGGCCGGGAGGCGTTGGTGCCAAGGGGTTAAGGTACGTTTCACATAATGTGCTATCATACAATGCATACTAGCACATTATACTACTTTGCAGGGTGAAACTTTTTTTTTTTTTGGAACAAGTTTACTACCGCTTTAAAGCTGTTGATCATCAATCAGACAATACAATGAAATTCTTATCTACATTTTCAAGTTATATTTTATTACAATACAGAAAGAATTCACATAGTAAAGATAGATGAGTAGGAATCGGATCCTACACTTTCAGATTGGTGCGGTCGTGGTATTTCTGGTAAGGATCATCAACATACCAGTTCCTCCTCCTCCAGAAGGATGTGGTCATTTTATCAAGCAGTTTGCTCTGCGTTTTGTTACAGATAACCATTTCTCTCAGGCGTTTTTTCCTGGCTGCCCTTTTCTTCCAGAGTTTCTTCTTATAACCAGACTGCAAATGCAAATGTTTATTAGCATTAAAAGAGAGAACTCTAGTGAAGAACAAATCCGTAAACATACATAACATCAGGTTATGGCCAGCTTGGTATGTCTTGGGTTTAAATGTGAGCTCTGCATGGACCAAGCTTTAAACCAGTTTTTGCTTCGAAATAAAAGTACTGTTTAGTGGAAATTTGCTTTCTGCCCTCCTCATCAGTGCTCTATGCTGGCATAGACCAGTAACAGCCATACCTCCTAATCGCAAGCATCCTTCTACATATTTATATTGCAAAGTAGAGCGGGGTGTGTCTGGCCAGGCCTGTCAGACAATGGGGTGCACTGGGTGGCACATACTCTGGTGCCTATTGGCCTGTGCTGTCATATTATACATCCTCCTTTGCAGCTACTTAGATAGGACAGAGGAGTTAACACTGGGACTATGGAGCTTGCTACTATATTATCTATGACCTCAGTTAGGGTCTGTTCCCGCGTCTGCATTTAAATCCATAAGGCCCCTTTCACACGGGCTTTCCCTATCTCCGTTTTTCATCTGTCCGTTTACGGATGAAAAAGACACCCATGTTTTTCTATGGACCAGCGGATGTAAAAGGATGATTCTGTTAACATCCGTTAACCACTTGCCTACCGGGCACTTATACCCCCTTATTTACCAGGCCAATTTCAGCTTTCAGCGCTGCCGCACTTTGATTGACAATTGCGCGGTCATGCAACATTGTACCCATATGATAATTTTTTTCGCACAAATAGAGCTTTCTTTTGGTGGTATTTAATCGCCACTGGGCGCTTTACTTTTTGCGCTATAAATAAAAAAAGTGAAAAAAATTTGAAAAAAAATTAGACAGCACTAAAGAGGTGTCACGGATAGGCGGCACTAATATGCAGCACTGATAGGCAGCACTGATGATGGGTACTGATAGACGGCACTGACTGGCATCACTGCTGGGCACTGACTGGCGGCACTGACTGGCACAACCCCTGGGCACTGACTGGTGGCACTGACTGGCAGCACTGCTGGGCTGCACTGGTGGGTGGGCACAGGTGGGTGGCACTGGTGGGCACAGGTGGGTGGCACTTCTGTGCACAGGTGTGTGACACTGCAGAGTGGCACAGGTGTGGGTGCACAGCTGGGCACAGGTGGGTGATCTGCTGGGCACAGGTGGGCGGAGCTAGTGGGCACACTGCTGGGCACAGGTGGGCGGAACTTGCGGGTGGCACTGCTGGGCACCGATCATCAGGGCACTGATGATCGGTGCCGATCACCGCTCTGACAACTGCCGGTTCTCTGCAGTACTTTCCTCACGATCTGACAGCGTGAGGAAAGTGCAGCCGAGAACCGGCACTTGCATTTCCCTCTGATCAGCGTGTCATTGGACACCGCTGATCACATGGTAAAAGGCCGCTGTGATTGGCCTTTTACCACATCACGTGATCAGCTGTGTCCGTAGGACACGGAGATCGCCGGGTGCGCGCCCCAGGAGCGTGTTCTGGGAGGACGTCATAAGACGTCCACTCAGAACTGGCCGGCTGCAGTACAGCCGTCATTCGGCTATCTGCGGTCGGCAGGTAGTTAATGTCCGCATCCATTAACATCCGTCTTTTTTTTGAACGGAAGAAAACCCTATTTTTCTTCTGTATAAAAAAAACAAACGTAAAAAAATTAAACGCACGGAAAACAGATGTAAACGGACATGCGGTCCATTTTTGCATTGGTAAAGGATATAAACTGCTGAAAAACAGACGTAAACTGACGAAACAATTACGTAAACTGATCCAGATGTGGAACTGATCCCTTTTTCCCATGAGTTCAGTCACATTTTTTCCAAGAAAAAAAACTGAACACCCGTGTGAAAGGACCCTCAGCACTACCAATATGTTTTAAAAATGCATTTCTGTGTGCGTTTTCTATTGTATATCTTTCTAGGAAAAGGGTACATGTTCTCTTTATTTTAGAGGTAATGTAATTGGCATTTTGCAGGTTATATTGGGGAAAAAAAACAAGATCAAGATGCTTTTTGAGAACACTCCTTGGTAATGCCACAAATTTACAAGGAAATTTGAAGACGTTTGATGTCTTGTAAATAAATAAGCGATCCTGCACTTATAATATCATTTTGTTCTTAGAAATTGTCATTACTGACCTCTCTAGCGTCAGACACTACGGTTATCAATGAACTAATGCAAACTATTTTGATGTAAATGTTAACCTCTTTTTGATCATGTAATGCTTACGTGATGTGGCAAGGGGGGGGGCCTTAGCACACATGACGCACATATGGAACCATGGTGGCTAAAGCTTCTTTGCCGAGTGTGCTCCCTGCCTGCTCCCTTTGCAGTGACGATCCGTCACAGACATTGAGATTTGCCCCTCCAACTTTAGACCGAGTTAAAAGTGATACTAAAGTCTTTTTTTTTTCCTTAAAAATAACAAACATGTCATACTTACCTGCTCTGTGCAGTGGTTTTGCACAGGGCAGCCAGGATCTTCCTCTTCCCAGGGCAAGCACTTCTAGCCCCTCCCTCCTGTCAGGTGCCCCCATAGCAAGCTGTTTGTTTAATCACACACAGGGCTGCAGCTCGGCCCCGCCCCTCCCTCTCCTGATTGGCTGAAGCAGTCAATCACAGCCAAGAGCCAATCAGGAGTGAGAGTCCCCGGAGAACCAAGGCTCTCGTTGACATCACTGGATCAAGAGGGGGCTCAGGTAAGTGTTAGGGGGAGCTGCTACACAGAAGGTTTATTTGCCTTCATGCATAGGATACATAGGATGCATAGGATACATGAAGGTAAAAAAATCTTGAGCATTTACAACCACTTTAAAGGGCTAGTGGGAGGGGTCATGACGGAAACAATGATACTCTAATGACAAATGTCCTAGTGTCCCTTCACTATTTTTTTATATATGTTCTTTTCACCTTCTATTTTTGTTCTATTCTCGTCCAACACATGTTTGTGATCACAAGCGAAGGATGTTTTTTATTCTAGAATAGGAAAATTTTTTTTAAAAAAATGAATGAAGGAACTTAAAATGAATCTGGTCTTCCTCTCAGGTTGGTTATGTATACTGATCTGTCAATGTGATCAGGTTGTTCTTTATATGCATTCCAACACACTATTCCCAAAGCATACATTCCTGAGAAATGGCTGAGAGTGTTAATGGGGGCTGCAGTGACTAACAACTGGGAACCAAAGATATTCAAAGCGAAAAGTGCACCACCAGCCCACCAAGGATCTCCAGAAACATGTCCAAAGCTTTATTCAGCGATCACACTGTAGTAAGAGAAGCGATGTTTTGGAGGCTCACTCCTTTATCAGGCATATGATAAAGTGCAGCACAGAAAGAACATTATTTAACCACGCTATAGCCGAATGACTTAATGGTTAAAAAAAAAAAAAAAAAAAACCATCCACCAATCAGTGAGCAAAGAATTAGCTCAGCCCCACCCCCCGACGTCATAAGCCTGTCATAAAACACACACATGACAAAAAAAAAAAAAAAGTGTGTGTGTGTGTACACACACACACACACACACACACACACGCACACACACCACACCACTTTATCAAGTACGCCTTCCTAGTGCCAAGAAAATACCCCACACACCATTACCACCACCACCACCAGCCTGAACCATTGATACAAGGCAGGATGGATCCATGCTTTCATGTTGTTTACGCCAAATTCTGACCCTACCATCTGAATGTCGCAGCAACCAGTCTGCCCATTCTCCTCTGATCTCTGACATCAACAAGGCATTTTCATCCACACAACTGCCGTTCACTGGATATTTTCTCTTTTTTGGACCATTCTCTGTAAACCCTAGAGATGGTTGTGCATGAAAATCCCAGTAGATCAGCAGTTTATGAAATACTCAAACCAGCCTGTCTGGCCATGCCACATTTAAAGTCACTTAAATCCCCTTTCTTCCCCATTCTGGTGCTCGGTTTGAATTTCAGCATGTCTTTCGGAAACACCAGCTAAAAGAGCGAAATTGTTACAGAATATGGTGTTGGACCGCCTTTAGCATCCAACATGGCCTGAATTCTCCTGGGAATTGACAAATATAAGTCTTAGATGGTGGCTAATTGAAAGCGGAACAATTTCTGCATGAAGAGTGGTATCATATTTAAACGCAAAACATGTTGTCACTTTTACACCTACAAATCAAGTAGTGTGCGAGCCGCTGAGAGCCTGAGCCAACCGTTCCTGCATCTATCACAGCTCAGCGCTCCAGTGAGCTCTGGAGGGACAGAGCAGAGAGCTGGAGATTGACAGTCACTGGCTCTCTGCAGGCTGGAGACCGTGAGCTGAATGATCACTTCTCGGCCTTAGACAAGGCAGATGACAGCAGCAGCTGGGATTGGTGCTGCAGCCATCCAGGCAAGTATGATTGTTTTTTTTTCTTAATTCCTATTCTTCTCTTAAATACTATTCTCTCTGTGCTGCACTGTCACATGCCTGATGAAGGGGTCCTGCGAGACTCCGAAACATTGCTTCTGTTACTATGATGTGATTGCTGAATAAATCTTTGGACCCATTCTAGAGATCCTTGGGGTGCTGGTGACATACTTTTCAGATTGTTATAGGGTCAAAAAAAAAAAATAAAAAATTTGCTCATTTTATGCTGCAGGAGCCTGGAGTGCATTGCACCAGTGACCAGCAGATTGCTGGTGCCATGCAGGACTCCTGAAGACCTGTTGGTATATCTGGTGCAGATAATGCCTTTTTTTTTTTAATCTGTTGGCAAAACTACAACCCCCCCCCATTTACGGCCGATAAAATTGGTGCATCACTACTCTGAATGTTTGATATAGTGAATGGAAGAGTGGTGGTAGGTGAGATAAAGCCATTTGTAAGTTTTGTGTGAAAAGAAGCCCAGAAAGTTTCTCTATGACGAAATCTATAGCATTGTTCCAAGCCAGCTCCCTGTGAATCTTTATTCAGCCTATCTCAGACCCTGTATCCGATCTGTAGAGTGGTGGGACTGCACCAAGAA